ATAGATAAAACAAAATGAAAATAAGTTTTAGAAAAAAAAAATATAGAAAAAAAACAAGTAATGATAAACCGACTGACTTGGCCCAGGTCTCGGGCACGCTGATGGTGTTGTCAATGCGGTGCACGCCGTCGTGGTAGGCAATCCCGCGGCTGGAGTTGCGCAGCATGTGCGAGGTGTTGTCCAAGTTCTCGGCGATAAACTTGTCCCCGGAGTCCCGCTCCAGCTCGTGCTGGGCTGCACGGTTCAGGCCCAACTGCACGTTGGCTCTTGAGCGGTGGGGGATTTAAACAAAAGTTTGATTCATTGAACTGAGCGGTCTGAATTTAAGAATGCGAATTGTTAAAAATTTCGGTTTACCTCCCTGAATTAGGCTCAAATTCAAATTCATTTCTCATACATGCAGGTTGTTTTTCGAAATTCCAAAAAATGTTCCCTTATTGCTAATTATAATCGGAAATGGACGTTCTTCTCTTCTATTCAAAAGTTTAGCCCAACCACACAATTCTGTTAAAACTTGAGTTAGCCCACGACATAAAGTTTCGACCCATACATCACTTGAAAAAGTTGACAAACAATAACAAATTAACCTTCATAAAATTCTCAATACAAGAAATGTACTTAAAAAACAAGTTTCAGTGAAAAGACCCTATATTCAACAATCACGAACGCACACACTCAGTCATACCCCTCCTCCTCCTCCTCCTCCCCCTCCCCTCTCTCACACTCAAACAAAAGTTTTCCATTTACCTGTCAATAGTGTTTCTCATTTTTTCCTGACATCGTTTGATCAGGTCCACCTCTCTGATTAGATCTTTCTCTGGCAGGTCGTGAACCAGGTCGATCGATTGGCGCTTTTCTCTGGGAAAGACCATCCACGCTTACTCAATTGAAATTTGAATTTCAATGAAGCGAAGTACATACATTGACATGATAACGGTCATTTAATGTTAGAAAAAAGCAAGACAGACGCTGAGAAAATAAGAACCCACACGTAGCGCCCTCCAACCACCAGCTCTGGGGTTCTACAACCCACAACCCACTAGACTGTAGCCTAGACACGGGGCAAGTCATCTTGAAAGACTGGAGACAGAATTGACAGTAAATTCCAGTGTGAATAAGTACAGACTGTTATTAACTAGATGACTACACAGCCTTTTTTTCCAGAGGACCTCTGGTACTACGTATTATTTTGTTCAAAAGAACCCATTTTTAACATGGTCCTCAGGTTTCCAAAGTTTAAAAAAAAAATCATGCGCATTGTCATCTGTGATGTGCTATCAACCCCCAGGAAAGTATGCTAAAACTGTTATTGCATTGCAAGAACAGATAAAACTTATCAAATATTTTTAAAAAATTACACAGAAAGTACAGCAATTAAAAGGTAAGAGTTTTCCATACATGTATAATCTATTTATTACGGGGTAATTGTACAATTCTGATGGAGCAGGGTTTTCAAGCCGACCTTTCTCGAACAGAAAAATCTGTTTTCGGGTATATTTGAATTACTTTAAGGAGCTGCATCGCCATAGCGGACTGGTCATCACAGGACAAAGTGAGACAATAAAGGGAAACAATAGAAGAATGTCAAAGACGCAGAGCCTATCAATTTCACATTGAAAGCTGTCGCTAAGGGATTGTAGCATGCAATTTAGCCCGTAATGATGGAAAGACATTGTCAGAAGTGAAGAAATTTAGGAAGAGACAAGTCAGAAACCAGTGGGAGATGACATCGGGCAGCTCAGATGGAATTGGTCTCGGACTGACCATTCAAATAAACTAAAAAAACAAACAACAACCGACATCAACAGAAAGCGCTACAGTGGAATCCTCAGGGAACAAGAAGCAGCAGTAGATTTTGGCCACGGGGTTATGGAAACGTTGCGTGGAGTACAATGTATAGATCTAACTACGCTGAAAATAGGACACAATAGGGTCTGCTTGGAAAGCTTGTACAAGGCAGAAAAAGCATAGAAATCGCTTAATTTTGTTTGTGGCCTAAACTCTGCCAGGGTTGAAGGGCATTGGTAGTGACGTGATTAGGCTCTCCGCTGTTGAACACAAAAGACCTTCGTTCAATTCCCAGGTGAGGAGGCCTTTCTCTGAATATCTCCATCTATCTGTTTTGATCTTGTATCCCTCTCAATCCCTGTTGACCCTGACAGACAAGGCCGAAAAAAACGTTTACCTAAACGATCTACATCATATACTGACGGGGATGCAAAACATTTACAATTCGCAGACCTGTTGTAGAGACATTCTTGGGATATATGCAGGGGATTCTCTGACTCCGCAAGATTTTTCTCCAAGATTCGCTTGGCTTCGTTCAGGGCATTTGTCTCCGTGATCATGCTATCTAGTTCATGAATCAGTTCCGTTCTCCAGAAGTTGATATCGCCTGAAACATGAATTGAGTAAAACCTTTGTATATGATGTCGTTGTTATTACTGTTGCTTTACATGTAGCAACACTCCCACTCAGACTGTCTTACCATTTCCAAACTTTCACATCACAATATCATTATGATTTTCGAGAATTTGGAGCCTCGGTAAAAATAAATTTCAGCCCACCCTCTTCTTCGTGCGTAACTACGATCGAACAGTACAGTTTTCTACCTCTGAGAGACAAGAGTGCAACCATACTGTGGCACCTACGGTGACTCCAGATTCAGATGTTGCCACAAAGTCATGTTTTTTGGAACAGAGCTTTTACTTTACTGTATACCGTTATTTATTTATTTTTCCACGTCATCATCATCTAGTGCCAGATCTACGACAGACAGCGGCGATCATGATTTTCCATTCATTCCTTTGCTCGGATGCTCTCAGAAAAGCTACGTTTCCCTGACCTTTCCCTGTTACCCATTTGTTTAGGTTCCCTAAGTATGTTGTTCTGGGCCTACCCCTGCCTCGCCTCGGCACATTTTTCCACGTGACTTCACAATATTTGCGGACTTCAAATGGCAATTTTTGTGGATTTCGAATCGCAATGTTAAAAGGGGCGCTGGTGCATTGAAACACATGACACAAGGCAACTCAAATCGCTAGTTAAAAACGTTAGCGGAACTCGAAATG